GAAAAATACGATAATTTATAATTTAATACTTTCATTAATAGCACAATTATTTTCAAATTCTATTAATGAAGAATTAAGATAATTTCATTATTTATCTTCTCATGATTATCTTTTTACAATGTCTCTTTATTAAGTATCACATTTATATTTGTTAATTACTGTCAAAATATTTGATGTTTATTCAATTTTCTAATTTTTTTTTTTTCTTTTATTATCTATTATTTATCACTTACTTGTTTGCTATTTATTTATCGTTTATTTTCCAAGTTATTAGTTATTCGTTCCCATTCAGTATTACTATGCTAAGCTATATATTTGTTAAATTATTGTCAAATTTTAAACAAATATTTGGATCAAATTTTGAAAATTTATAAAAACTTCAACAAAAGATTAAATCTTAAATCATCCTCTGTAATATTACAACTATTATAGTAATACAGCAGTAATTAATAGTAATAGTAATAACGAATGAAAGTGATAAATATTAAAAGGTGCTCATCAGATAGGTAAAATTTTATCTTATCTATTGTAATAAGAAAAATATTACCAGTATATTTATTCGTTATCACATCATTTCACAATTTTCAATGTCAAATAAGATAATAATTATGTATTGATCATGGACGATGATCTTCATCGATTCCTTTGGTTAAACAGTTGATTAGATGATAACATCAATTAAGGTATGTGTCATCAATTCAAAATTTTGACAAATAAATGTAAATGGTTTTTACACTTTCGGCTAGTGTAGAACAAATTTACCTAGACCTCTGACCCTATGTGATGTCATCTTTTGAATGGTTTATCAGAAGTTCTCAAATGAGATGACCATCTATTTTATTTTATTACTATTTCGCAGCCTCTTACCATGAATCCTGTTGTTCAGATTAAAATATATTAGTATGATAATTTGAAGAGTTTGTTGAAATTTGTATATGCTGGTACCACAACCCTTCTCTGAAGATTTATTGGAACGAACTATCACCAAGATTAACCAAGAAAGCTTTTAACTTTCGTTCCAAACAACGAACTACCCTTTTCCCGATTTCACATTAGTGATTCGATTGACACTATAACTATAAGGATGTTTCACAGTGTCGAAATAAAGAGCATAGACAAAACCTGTTCCATCTTGCACCACTTGCTACGACGATTCACATTTAACGTCCTCTCCCTCCTTCTCTATTTGAAATCAACCGTGACTTTGCCGAATTAATACAAAAACTTGTCGTGAAAACCACACGCGATCACAGATAAAGGTTGACTTTGATCTTTCCCTTCAAAAAAAAAAAAGTCATTTAATAATGCTTTCGAATTATTTTGAACACATTCAGTTTTATTTCTTAAAAGAGACTGAGCATACAAAAATCACAAAAAAGAGACAGATTAACAAATACGCACAAGTAGCAATTTTCAAAGGCACTCGTACCAATCCAATCAGCCTTGAATAAAAGTGATGAAACGAAAAGAATAAAATAGAAAAACACTGAACTATTTCAAAATATACAGCACCATTTAATCAGCTCCTATCACCATTAAAATTTCAAATGAAAAGTATGGAATCGAAATGAACCAGAAACGCTTCAGGAATAAATGCATAGGTTGGATTAATTTGTACCAAAAAGTGGAATTTCAGTTCTCCGTCGAACTTTAACTACTACTTTATACTCTTCGAATGTTCGAATAATTTAATAAAATGAAATAATTGTAAATGAAACAAGCAGGGAATAATTTCATCTTCAAAGAAAACAGTAAAACACTAAAAGAATTAAAAATTATTTATGAAATATTTCGGAATGCATTGTTTGTCGATATCGGAATGCATTGTTTGTTCATACTTCTGAAGAATCTCTGCAAATGCTCTATTCCATCATTCAGATCCGTTGCATGACATAATCGGGGTTGAATCCATGATGGAAGGTCCTGGAAAAAAAAAACTGTTGCCATATTTACCGCCATCTAGCATTATTGAATGGTACTATGCTTAATAAACATAAGTGTATAATTATTTTAGTTCTGTTGTTTTGTCAAAAATCAAAACTGTTTGGATTTCTGGGCAGCGTTATCTAGTATCAAGATTGAAATTCTCGCGTGTAATCAATCGCATCTGACCACAGCTACCTCCTAAATACAAATTCTTGAATTGGATATTGCACAAGTTCTTCCATGCATTCATCCTAATTGTATGATCAATTCATCCCGCAGCCTTCTCCGGAAACGATTTCTTTTCAACATGAGACCACCAAAATGCGATGAATCGTCAAAATATGATTTGTTCAGAAAGATATGAAAAGCTTAAATTGCTTACTTTGATAATTCGTTCACTTTTATATCTTAAATCAACCAACACAACTGCTGCATAATCGTTACAATGGCGAATTACACGACCAATGGATTGATTGATAGCATGCATGCATTTCGCTTCATAATACTCAGTACCACTCTTTGGACCAAATTCACTTTGCATAAACTAAATTTGAATCACCTTATCGATTTATCAGAATATGATACAACCACAGTTCAGAATTTTCATTCACTGGCAAAGGATCTTAGTCTCAAATGCGCATTTTTTTCCAAGCATGAAAATGCATCACCTCTGTATTACGTCCTACTACTCAGTCATACGAACAATTTCTTTCGATGTCTCGAGGGAAGTCTGTCATTTGTCTTGTCCAACTCCAACCAGACTTCACTTTATTCTCCAATTTACTATTCCCAAGTTCGAAATTACGTCACTTGACATTGCATCATCCCACACAGGTTATATGATATAAAAAGTACCTTCAATTTCTCTTTCACAATGATATCCTCGCTATTCATATAAGGTAATCCGACGACAACGACCGTACGTCCTAATTCATCCGAAAAATTAATTCCTGAAAGTGCAACGTAGCTATCTCATAATACATATAGAATCAACTTAATTGAGCTGGTAATCCTGATATGACATTATTTTCTAGGTAATACACATAATATAAAGCATATTAGAGAGTTAATACTGTAAAATACCACAGAAGTATTAATGTTCTCAACTAACGTAAAAAAAATCCACATTTTGACTCCATATGTTTCATATATTTATAAAGTGAAAGTGACATTAAAATGTTCATTTGAATTTTAATCAGAAGGGAATCCTTCGGGGAAAAAAACGATATAAACAAAAACCTTCACTTAATTTTCCGCCAACCACAGCTAACAATAAAGCACCTTTTACGGTTCGAGCTGACTTTGCAAATTCATTAAACAAGGCAGGCAAACTGTTTCGGCGTTCAATGAATAATGGTTTAACCTTCTGCAATTTCGATAACATTCATTAAGAAATCGAACCTGCTTGGAAATAAAAGATGATTTGAATATACAAAATTTTTCGTTATTTTTTAATTGTTCCAGAGAAAATCTGAATTTAAATCCCCAAAAGCAGGAATGATTTGAAAGATGACATGGCACGGCAGATGGGAACATGAAAAGAGAATTAAGGCCACTTTTCTTACGCATGTAACGAAAAAGTATATTCCACGCGTGTAATAAAGAAGTATATTTTATTACCCGCAAAGTATTTATGGGCATTTGTTTAACAAATACTTCCAGATAGCCATAGCTGGGAAAAAACACAATCATTCCATTTGGAACTGCTTCAGCAATCCGTGCTAACGTCATCATCAAAAGATTCAGGATTTCCTGTGTTTCCCGTTTACCGTGTGTGAATATCAATTTCATATTAGAAACACTTGCTGCAAAATTACTTATATTATATATTTCTTAATACTCCACTTCTTTTCCACTTTACAGCAAAGAAGAAAGAAAGAGAAATGCCAGATACAAAATCTGGTTTAGTTTCACATACAACAAACAAAAAATCTGTGGAAAAAACCAGGCGTCAAAAGTACTACGTAATCAATCCTTCAATATTATTAGCCATTCAGTACCTGAGCAGCCAAAGCATACTAAGTATTTATTATCGCATACCGAAAGATACGAAATTAACAGATGAAAGCAACTGGATTCTAACAAAATGAAGGTTTGGAAACTTTTTTTTGTCGTACTTTTTTTTTTGTCGCACTTTCAGACTGAAATTAGATCTTGCAACCGATACTAAGTAACCGAGTCCTTTCCCGAATAAAAATTTACAACTTGAATTTATTGCTTTTCAAAAAACACATTTTCGTGTAAAACATGGACCAGCTAGATCTATTCAATGGTATCGCCAGTTGCGAATGAATCACCACTGCTTAGATTCAGAAAAGAATTCCTGAGCAACAGCTTGCTTCATATGTATATGTAGAAAATAAGGTTTTTATATATATATATATATATATATATATGCTGAAAATAAAAATGTAAACTTATTGTTAGAGCTAGTAACTGTTGCTCCTTTATGATATGTCCAAAAGAGCGACGGATAAGATCCTTGTTTGGGTCAATCTGAAAATTTAGAATATAACGTTTGATTAAAACACAACTATAACAAATCAAAGAATAAATCATTTCATAGAAAACAGCAAATAATTTATTTCCAAATTATGCAAACCCTTTCCAATAACAAGATCAACGAACTTTGCAATACATAGTAAGTGAGCGTATCAGGGTTTCCGACGGTTCCATAGTACCACCAAGCAATATCAAAGATCTGCATTGTTTAATTATATCACCAAGTTGAGAAGCTGGATTGACAAGATAATAGCTTATTCTGCAAATCATCAAAATAGAATTTTTCGTTAAATGATACTGCAATCAATAAAATGTTAGATTTAGAGCACTGTTTGATTAAGAAATGTGAAAAATTTTTTTTTGAAAACTAAGAAAAAACAATTTGGTGACAGACAAGTAATGTGCATGAAACACTGAGTTACGATGAAGCGCATGCATTACAGAATGGAAAACAGTTACACAGTGGCCTTGATGATAAAGCATAACTTTGAATACATTATATTGTAAAATTACTCAAGTAAATGGTAGTTCTACTGAACTACAGAATGCTTTAAGCAGTAAGGAATGAAAATTAAAGACTGAATAAATCAAGATTAAGCAAAACGGCGTATCCAAAAAAAGAAAATCATTACTTGGCCTCATCTTTCTCAGAGGCACATTCCACTATTAATCTGCCGTCTTTGTAGTTCAACATCAGCATTTGTAAAAACTGCTGGAATGCACACAATGCTAATGCTATTGCTGTTCGCTCCTCAACAAAGGATGATGATGTACACTGACTAGATGAGCACCCTGAAAATTTCATTCCATTAAAAATAGCCGATTCGAAAAAGGAATATTTAAGGAACTTACCGAATATTTCTCATTGAAAAAAAAAAATCTTTACGACCTAAATGGAAACTGTAAAAATGTGTGTGGAAATCTCGCCCTTATCCGAGCCAGAACCTGCAAATACCAACCATAACTAGTTAATTCCAGACTTTGCTTACATATGCATATCCATGTTTTTAGAAGCTAGTCAAGAGTCTGTATTATACAAGTAGCAATGAACTTCAACATACCAGATACGCTTTGAGAATCAGTCGGGGAATCCTTTGTGCGAAGTAAGTGTTCTACCGAAAATTCATATGCAGAATCAACTTTTTTGTTTTGCTCTCCATCCAAACGTTTCGAAAACTTGCTTAGCTTCATGACTAAATGTGTCTGCTCAATGTATTTCAATAAAACGTCGAACTTATACTGTGCCAGATAAGCCTGAAAGTGTCATTACAAGTAACAATAGTCATCATTTCTTGGAAAATTGCTGGTATGAACACAAATTTATTCCATAGCATCTGAATGCAACTGTACCCTATTCCTTGGTTGTAATCATGCTATTGTATTATATTACGTCAGGTCATATATGACCTGACATGATCACTATTAATCCGTAAGTGATAATGAAGCAATGGTTGGGGATTTTACAAAAGCAAATGTTTTATTTTCGCTGATAATATTACAGCAGGTGCTATTATCAATAAGAGCTGTTTAAACTACGAAAATTATTAATGAGTCTAATCATACATTCAGTTTTTTAATCAGTTATCAAACCAGCAGACTTAAAGCCCACAGTTTGTGAAGGAACAATTATAGACAATCCAGCTTAGTAAATATCCAATTCATATTTTAATGATTATCACTTTTGTCACTGCCTTATTTTTCTTGCTTATATTAGTAATAGTTATATGTCCAAAGTTGCCAACCAAAAATAATTCATTGCTTTACTAATTTACTTGAAGATTTTGAAGCGTCTGCCAATCCCAACCTACGATAACTCAAAATAAAATTTTACTGATTAATAGTACGATTAGTAATACGGTTATCATATAGTACTATTTTTGCATTCTTAATGAAAAATGAGGAAAAATTAAAAGCCGTTTTCACAAACATAAAAAGAGATCCTTACTTTGCCAGCAAATGCCGTCATTGTTTCAACATAATTTTTATGCTTGTCTGATGCGTGATTCATATAAGTCAATAACAGATTTGCAAAAGCCGATATCTGCCGCAGATATTTTTTATGCACCGATGTCAGCCGACTTTGAAAACGACTTAGATAGTCACTGGAGAAATAAGTAACATTAAGCATTGCAAATTATGCAATTGCGAAACAAATAGAATATTTGTAAATTATTTAATTTTTGGAGTTTGTTCATGCAAATGAAACGAAATAAAATTTTCTTGTTAAGAACCATTAAAAACAAATGATTTGAAATGAACTGTCGAAATAACATTGCCAAATAACAAAAAACAAAATAAGATTAAACAACATTGCCGTCCTTCAAATACTATACTATATCGAATGATGCGTATAAAAGAAGACAAAGAAAATCGTTCGATTTCACCAACTTCTAAATATTTATGGTGATGTGATTCATGAATGATAATTTTACTAACTTTAATACTGAAAGCACAGATTTCAGTTCCTTTGCATGCAGCGTAACGAAATGTGAACTAGTGATTGTTTCCAACAAATTATGAGCTTCATCAATAACGATAATGTTGCCGCTCAATTCAATTCCCCAAGCTTTCCGTGCTTCTTCTTGAAACAAAATCTGCAAATTTATTGATAAAACTACTAGTAATTTAAATAAGGCATAAGACTAATTTCAAAATTACCGCACTATTTTTAAGGACGTATTTTTGGAATAAAAATATCATACTACCTATTTATAACTATGCCAGGCAAGAAATTTCCGAGTATCCTGAAACTCATACTATTTATTTATGTTTCAGAACACTAGAAAATTGGAGTGTATAACCATGAATCGATGCTTAGAAATCTGAATTTCATGTTCACCAAAAGATTTTAACATTTCCAGTCACATTTTATTTGAATGAGAATGTAAACTTGAAATATGTTCACATTCACTAAAACTATTTGTGGAGAATAACCACGCGCTCAGTTTTTATTTATAAATTAAAACATATTTCGAATAGAAAGAAAATCCCTCTGAGAGACTTACTTGATATGGAAGCAGCACCAGCTGTGAATAAGCTACCGCCTTGCGTGATGCTAAGTACGGACAAGCGGATATTTTTTTGCTATAATCAACTAATTGTGGTGCACTGGATAGCTTTGATGCAAGAATCTGGTCACAAAGATCCTCGATTGCATCGCTTCTTGCAAATGGACAACTTCCCTTACATGCTTTTTCCACATACTGCAATCCTACTCAGAAATTTCAACTCTTAAATATTTCAAATAATTCCCAGCATCAAACATACGGACCAAATATGATAGCAGCCTCCAAAGAACATACATATTTTACCATCGCTGCTATGTTAACTGGAGCTAATAGTTATACCGGCAACTTTATGAGACTTTTAACATGAAGTGAAATCAACATTACCACAACGAAAAACTAACAATTACATACATCAATGAATACATATTATTTACGCTTGGTTAAGTAATAATTTAGAAAATTATATGTTCAATAATAGCATTAGTAGTAAATTCAAAGCTACTATCAACAGAATGAGTAGAAAGAATATACGGTATGATTTGACTCTCGAACCCATATAACGGTTGTTTAGGGCGTACAATTGTATCTACCACTAAGACACAATCTAAAATGATTAGTCATACTAATGCGAATGTAGAATTGACTGATCTTAGAATCAAATTATGATTAAGAAGGAAAGAAAGAGTACTTTGTCATCGTCATCTTTTTGACGTTTTTCCGAGGCTTTAATATCACGTAATTCGTTGCATCGTTCTGTCATAAGACTCGTTTTCTGTAAGGCACGAACTGATTCATTGACGCATAAATGTTGTCTCGATCCCAGCGTTACTACTCTTGGTTGAAATCTGGGAAAGAATTACTAACAATATTCGAACGTTGTTGT